AGAAGACATTTGGCATTTGATTTTTAGGGATTGGCTAGCTTCACTTAGCATAATCTGCTCTAATGCCATCCATTTCCCTGCAAATTCTATGATTTTTGTCATTTTTTAATGCAGAGTAATACTCCATTGTGTATAAATGCCACATTTTTTTTTATCCATTCATCTATTGAAGGACATCTGGGTTTGTTTCACAGTCTTGCTATTGAGAATTGTGCTGCTATGAACATCGATGTAGCAGTGTCCCTGTAGTATGCTCTTTTTAGGTCTTTAGAGAATAGACTGAGAAGGGGAATAGCTCGGTCAAATGGTGGTTCCATTCCCAGCTTTCCAAGGAATCTCCATACTGCTTTCCAAATTGGCCGCACCATCTATTTTATTTCTCTTCAGATCGTATAAATCTTTCGCCTTTTCTATTTTATTTTATTTTTTGTGATGCTAATTCTATGGCATTGTAAGTATTTTTAGTGGCATTCTTTTATGTTGACCTAAAAGTGATTAATCCATTCACCAGGCTGTGCCACCACCAGTACTGTGTAGCTGCTGATGGAGCCCATGTAGAGCTCATAGGTGCTGTGAGAGAGTATACAAACAGCCCATCTAGGAGGAGGTGAGATAGATGCCCCAGTTATGGATCATGAGGGACTGACTAATGAGTATTGAAGGTTTTAGGCCATTATAACTCATAGTATGATCTATTTTAACTGTCATGTGGCACTACAAATCCCATTCATATAAGATAAAAACTTTAATATGTACATTCTTATTGTTCCACAGATCATGGCTCACCATCCTCTTATTCTTCAAGACATAATATTGTAGTTAGAACCATTAATGACTCAGTAAAGGTCTGTACTGTTTAAATAAAAGGAAGAGTGTTACGTTTTGCACTTCAAATAAAAAGCTGTGCATCTTACACTACTTTGTCACTCTGAGAATGCAAAAGAAATGTTCAAGAAGGAAATTAAAGTACTGCTCCAAGGCATATGTAAATGACTAGAAGGCAAAAAATGCCTTATTCCTGATCTGGAAAAACTTTTTATATTCTGAAGAAAAGAAGAACACCCCACGTTCTATGAAGATGAAGCCAAATCCAGAGAAGGTCATCACTTTAGATTGTGATACTGACAAGAGAAGTGAGAAAGCTGCAGAAGAAGTTTGAAGGTGCCAGAGTTTGGTCCATTATGTTTTTGGCAAGAAGCCCCTCTCCATAAAATAAAAGTGCAAGGCAAAGAAACAAGTGCTGATGTAGAAGCTCTTGCAAGTCATCTAGAAGGTCTTGCTAAGCTATTCGATAAAGATGTGTTGTGCTTTAGGTAGTAGGTGTCCCCAGAAGCTCATGGGTGAGCCAATACAAGGATTATCAGTGAAATGATTCAGTTCTGAGAGCTTTAACCCAATCAATGGTTAATTCCCCTGGCATATATGAACAGGCAGCAGGCATGGAAGGGCATGGGCTGGATGTTTCCCAAGCCTGGAGGTATAGGTGGCACCTGCAAAGGCATCTAGTGGCTGTGAAATAAGTCTGGTTTCTAGGACTGAAGCATATAGAAGCCAACATCAGCATTCCACAGCAGGGTTTCACATTGGAGGTTCCCAGTGACCAGGAGCAGTGTCAGAATCCTGTAGCAGGGGCATCCATCTGTGGGGAGAATGTCAAACAGCGAGCCTAGGTGTCTTAAGGCAGTTTGAGGAGCCCAGATGTATCAGTGGCAGGACAGAGAATTGGCCTCAGGCTTGGAGGACAGCCATAGGCAGGAACCTGGGCAGTGAAGCCTTGGCGTTTGGAATCTGTGGAAGTATTGGTGTCTGAAGTTCAGTTATGGCAGTGGTGGCAAAGGCAACTGAGGAGTCTGTAGGTGGCAACGTCAAGCCAGGCATCCAGAGAGTTGCATTCTCATCCTCTGGCAGTGGCAGGAGTCTGGTCCCAGTGCAGTGATGGTGGCTGCGGCATCACTGGTGGCCCTGTGGGGACTCCAGTGGCTTCAGTGTGGAGCTCTGTTAGTGGTGGTGATAGTGACAGCTTGAGACAGCAGGCCTCAGAGTCAGAGGGTGACTGGAGGCTGTGATGGCCTCTGCAGCAGCTCCTCCAGGCAACTGGTATTGCTCCTGGTAGGGCCTGCCTGTTCACAAAGCAGGGCGCAGGATCTGGTGGTACCCAGACACCTGCTGAGGACCTCATGCTGCCCATTCCAGCAATGCCTGGCATTGGCCTTGAGTCCACCAGGCTTCTCACCTAATCCTTGAGTTCACCCTGCCCCTCCCTGAGTTGCAGCCTCTGAGGAATGAGTAGGCCTGCTGCCAGCTGGGGCAACCCTGGGTGAAGGCACCCACCCTCCCCAGCTACATCTCCCCTTGGCTGTGGTAGCAGAGTGCAGAGGTGGGAGGTGGGGGGGCCTAGAAAATCCTCACCCTCCAAGTGCATCCCTGGGGTGGAACAAGGGTGGAGGGCACAGGTGGCAGTGGGAGTCTAAGGGCAACGAGTTCTCTGTATTGGTCTTCTTTAACCCCCAGCCACAGAAATGCAATTTGGGGGTAAAGATGTCCTAGGACCTCTGCTTTCTGCACCCACAGTCCATGAAGGAAGTGGCTGGGGATGGTGAGGTTCTCTCCCAAGACTGCCCCAACCTAGCAGACAGCCTAGTTCCTCAGTAGAGAGGCTATAACAGGTGATGGGGTGAGCAGACACACAATGGGCTCATGGCCAGAGAGAGACATGGCAACTGTGAAAATCATAAGGTCCTGGGCAGCTGCCTTGGTACCACCACCTCCCGCATTCTTCTTCCTCAGCAGGCCAGTTGACCAGGCCCAAGACCAGGGCCTGGAGCCTCCATCACAGAGGACATCCCAGCTACTGGTTACCTTATCACTCTGACACCCACTATCCCATGCCCTTGCTGCCATGCCAGCCTGGAGTTCTTTGCTGCAGCCAACCAGACTCCCCACATGGCCACTGGATGCCACCTTCACTGTCCAGCAGCTGGACCCCAGTTACTTCTGCAGGATGAAGATGCTCACTGCTGGACACTGCCTGTTGTTGCTGCCCCTGCTTCTGAACTCTTATGGTGCCACCACCATTATGCAGCACTGAAACTTCCAAACTCCAGATGGACTCCAACACTGCCCACAAAGGCCCCAATGTCATTGTACTTTACCCCACACCTGTGCCTGACCCCTATACTGAGGCTGGACCCCTGATGCAGCTGTATGTTGCTCCCGCCCCTGCCAGACTCTGGAGGTCCACCCTGCTGCCACTAGACTTTAACATGGATACTAGACAGTGACAGTCAGTACTGGGACCAACTTCATTGCAACTGAAGCCAGACCCTTGTCTCTATGGCAGATGAAAACACTCATGGCTGGATGCATCTGTTTTTACAACCACTGTTTCTGGATTCTTCCACTGTCACCGAAACCATGAGTAGGAAGCAAGGAACTCCCAAATCACAGCTGCATGCTGACACCGCCAAAGTCGCCCCCACCTCACACCAATACTCAACTCCTGACTTTTGACGCCTGATGCCCTATGCACAAAAGAGCTGGATGTTGCTCTTGCCACCATATGCCACCATTTCATGATGGTGCCATTGCAGTGAATTGACTGCAAGGATGCTTCTCTGCAAAAAATGTATAAGAGCTGAGAATCTGATCATTCTCTATTACAGTCACCTCACCAAGTTCCACTACATGCTGCCTGCCTTTTATCACCCCAGGACCAACCACCAGTCCTCAGGACCCTTGAGAAGTTGTGGCTCTAACTCAGGGTACTCATTCAAATAAACAAGTGAGTACTCTAAATAAAGACTGCAGTCCTCACAGCAGGCAGTGGGTGTTACTAGGTGGGTCCAGCTCACTGGTGAGAGGGTGGGGTTAGAGCCTGGGAGCTGCTGGC